CTGATAAAACGTACCTTGTCCCTGATCAATCCAAATATAAGTATGAAATAAAAAACATACATATATAAATAATAATAATATAAATAATGAATCAAACTATTCTCTTTTGATTTTTGCGTTGTTTCTGCTCTCCACCGCCCGCCCATCGGTGGCGCTGTTTTCATACTGTCAAAGTGAAATCCAAACCAACGAAGAAGAAATTCTCCGGAAGCTACTTTTTCTGAGCACGCGGTGCGTCCGGCCTTTCCAACAGGGCAGTGAGAAGGAACATGGTGAGGAGCCGACACTCGTCTATCAATTCCGATTTTATTCATGTTTATCTCAAGTAAACCCGCTTAAATGTTCGTTATATGGCCATATAAGCTTCTCACATAGTACTCATTGGTTGTGTTGATGCGCTAGCTGCTACTGGAATGGAATAAAATGTTATAGAATGGATCGCCGCTATCGACCGACGCCGCGAGCCTGTGAAGCTAGCCGTAAGCTAATGAAAATATGGCAGGCTAGCTAAAGTTAACTGCTGCACTATGTTAACTCACAATGTACAGAGAATGTATTTCAGTCAATACTGGTAGCAGGTTGCTTCAGTTGGCTTTCTTGGTTAAAACGGGGAAATGTTAGAAAGCAATAATGTTGTCGGTATGCTAGCCGTAACGAGCAGTACTAGCTTGGCAGACTCGTGTCGCAAAGAGACGCTCTCCACCGGGCTGAGGACTGAACTTTAATGGCGTCTTTGGTACCAACGTGGTGCTGTCACTTAAACATTTTTCTCTCCTGTCGTGGTCCAGGCCAAGATCAAGGCAAGAGATCTGCGGGGCAAGAAGAAGGAGGAGCTGCTCAAGCAGTTGGACGATCTGAAAAATGAACTGTCCCAGCTCCGTGTGGCCAAGGTTACCGGTGGAGCTGCTTCCAAGCTCTCCAAGATGTACGTACTGTGTGGAAGTGATTCGGATTGAACATGATTGTCGTAGGCTAGAAAACCCAGGTGCTGATTTGGTGTCTGGCCCATCTGGCGGCTAGGGGAATAAAAAGTTCTGTCCGCCCAGTGATCAAAATAAGATTTATAAAAGTGACTACTTTTATGTGTCAGGTGGGTTCAGTAAACTCTTCTGTAGCTTTACACTGCCGCCACCACCACACAGAGAAGAAAACAGTACACATGGCAGTATCTTACAACGTGAAGCAGGGCCTTAGCTTATTGTCTAAAATCCATATTGCTGTAACGACTACAAAACAAAGCCAACATGGACACGCAAATTGTGTTAAGTCTTTAAATCAGGCGTTTGCTCTCTGGTTCTCTTGTCAAAGATGATAATTGTTGAGCTGATGTTTTGCTGATGCATTCACAACTGCTTACCAAAAGACTGAGACTTGAGTTAACCTGAATGATCCTCGTAACCAGTGACTGTTTACTGACTGCAGTAATTCTAATGAAGAAGTTTGATTTGGCTGTATCATTTCCATTACCACAAAGCAGAAAAGATGCAGTTTGGTCTCATAGACAGTCATCTCATAGGAGGGATACTTAGTACTACCAAGCTCAATATTTCTATTACTAACATCATACTTGTACTACAGAAAATGGAAATAGCAGTTTTTATAAAAAAAAAATTTAAAATGTTTTGATTACAGCTTACAACAAATGAAGGCCTGAAACGTGCCTGCTTTGTATCACAACCCATAATTTTGTGCCAAACACATTTTTTTAAATGGAGTGGGTTTTTAAGATATATTTACAGGTTGTTTAAATTGATATTAAACTAGAAGAGGGGGGAGGGGGGGCAGCAGTTTGAGATCCGGGTCTTAAATTGAACCTGTTCAAACTTGTAGAAACTCTAATGTATTCAGAACCGTACAACTTCTTGAGGACTATCTTTTTGTCAGATTCACTGTGCCATATTGTAGCTACTAGGTTTGGATTCCACAAACTCCACACTCACCACTCAGTAAGAAAACTGTACAAGTGGCAGTATTGTATAACGTGCAAGTCCTTTGAATCAGTGGGTAGTAACATACATGCAGACTAACTGTTTTTCATGGTGTTTTAACATAGTTTGTGTACAGCTATATTTGAGTCTAATTGGTCAGTAAAGCAAACTAATTGGTGCAGACACAAGGGTCTGACTTTTCCGTGTGTTCATTGCAGCCGTGTTGTTCGCAAATCCATCGCCAGAGTCCTGACTGTAATCAACCAGACACAGAAGGAGAACCTGAGGAAGTTCTACAAGGTGAGAGCAACCGTGGCTTGTACTAACACCTCCTCAGAGACATGCCTGCTTGTGACTTGAGCTTTTGCTCTCTGGTTCTCTTGTCAAAGATGATAATTGTTGAGCTGATGTTTTGCTGATGCATTCACAACTGCTTACCAAAAGACTGAGACTTGAGTTAACCTGAAGTGAATCTTTGTCATGTCCTGCCAGTAGAAATGGTGCGTGTATATATCTTACAGCCTTGTAATGTGGCTGCCTCCTTTGACCCAAGTCAGATAAGACAGTATTGTCACATGCAGAGAAATGTCTTGCTTACGATTACAAAGTTGCAGCCTGAGTAAAGGTAGTGACAGTGATGTTCTCACCTACTTATGCATCACACATCTTCGGTCCCCAGCCTGCAGTACATGTAGTGACTGCAGATGGTTGGAACACCATTGTTGACAGAAAGCAGTGCATTGAGCTCACTGCTTTGGGAAAACCAAGTGCATAAAAAAAACGGTTTATGGTTCTTTTTTCTTTTTCTTTTTGTCTTAAATATAATATACTTAAACTGTCAAACCTTTCTAGATCTTGACAAAAGTTGCTGATTGACCTTTTCCTGTCGTTTGAGCTCTACTAATGGTTCATTTAATTTCTTTCAGGGCAAGAAGTACAAGCCCCTGGATCTGAGACCCAAGAAGACCAGAGCTCTGCGCCGCCGGCTCAACAAGCACGAAGAGAGTCTGCGGACCAAGAAACAGCAGAGGAAAGACCTCCTCTACTCCATCCGCAAATTTGCAGTCAAAGCTTAGAGGCTTTTTCTATTGACAAAATAAAATCTGTGTAAAAGACCAGAATTGTCTGTTGACTCTTTTACATTTGAACTTAATTTCCACTGAAGCAAATCTGATGTGTTCTCATTTCCATCAATCAGGTTTGACCTGTGAAAAAATATATTAAGTGCTTTGCTATACGAACACCTGTTCACCCTACTATATTTCATGTCGAAACCACTGCTGTGAAAATTGGGAGCCATCTGTGGCTATTGTGCAGTGTTTATTAGTGTGGAACATTTCTTCCTAAACATTTGCAAGTGCATTTCTCAAATCAGTGTAACTTGATCAAAATCCTTCATTTATTTTTGAGAAGTAAATGTCAATGATTATATCAGTGCCAATTCAATACAACGGAAGGGGGATTGAAACTAATTTTAAGGGTTTAAATCACTCCCTAAAAGCATCTATCATACAAAGATTATATCATAATCAACACTGGCTTTCAGTAAGAATACTTGAAAGCTTCCACCCTATATTTGAGAAAGGACAATTTATTTATATATATATATATATATATATATATACAGTTAAAAATTGCAAACTTCAACACTTTTTTCCATCAGTGTGTAGTTTTGATGAAAGATGTTGCAAGACGTGCAAAATGGCTGCAGTCCCAGTATCACCCACCAGATAAACCAGAGAGCATAATACAGCAAATACTATTGTTTAATAGTACTTTTCTGATCGATAACCATCCATATGTAAACAAAAAAACTCCCAAATAAGATATATTTGTAAATGATCTAATAGATAAAAGGAAAGGTGTTTGGGGTTTGTTGGTGTTTGGATATTTGGTGGACTGATTTGGTGTGTGTCGGGTTATGGTCAGCCGCCAGAGTATTTGCATTCTTATGTATATTATGATGTGGCCTGTGTTGTATGTATTAAGATCAAATAAAACATTTAGTTAACTCAGGTGAAAACTGGCAACGGTTTTGGCCTCACTTTCTCTGTATGCCATATATCCATTTAAACAGTGTGAAGATGTCATTGTGTGAGACATTGATTGCCACAGCTTCACTGTTTGTACTGTAATTTGTTGACAGACCATGTCATTGTGATACAGAAAAGATAGAAATGTTAACATATATTGGGCAGAACTGCACATGAGGGCGATTCATTAATTCACATTCACAAAAAGCTAAAATAAATGACAAATATGACAACTGGTTGAACCATTTTGCACGTGCTCTGAACAAACGCTGAGATGTTTTTTGGGTGGGAGAATACATTGTGATCAACCTGGCAGTTGATATTGTAGAAAACAGCAGATAGTTCTATGTAATTAATTCCCTGAGTGTGCAAGAGCTTTTGTAATGTGTTAAAAAAAAATGAGCAGTTGCTTTTATGATGTGCACAAGTGACTAGAGGATGTGGAGATTGAACAAGTAGTTTTGAGATTTTAAACTCTGATCTGAAGTGAGTGAGAAAAACTTTTTATTACCATACATGATCTCCAAACTAATGGACTGTGTTTAACCAGCCCACCACAGGGGGGCAGCATGCTTGCATATTATTCAGCAACACACACAACATTGTGATCACCTGTGCACCCTGGTGGTCATAGTGTTCTGCAGCCCCACAGTAACAGACTGCTCTGCACTGTGTGTTCTGACCCCTTCTCAGAACCAGCATTAACTGTTTCAGCAGTTTGAGCTACAGTAGCACGGGCCAGCCTTCACTCTGCACAATTTGTGCAGGTTTTAAGATACCTGCCTCTGAATGGAGGTGAATGTTTGTGGTTCTCAGAGCACTGCAAAATGCAAATTGAAAAACTCAAGAGCATCATGTTT